ATTGCGAACCCGGGATTTAGACATTCTGGCTAGACGATAGTTGACCTCGTTGATGTCGATTGCCGGTCTGGAAAAGGTCTCGTTGAGTCTCGTCGATTTCTGGCCAATTCTCGTTTGGTCTCATTTGGTCTCGACGAGATTTTCGCGCAGTTTCAGACTATTTTAAGCCTATTTTGGTCTATTTACAACCTAGTCTCGTCAAGTCTCGTTTGGCCTGGACGAGATTTTCGCTCTATTTAAGGCCTTTTTTCGTCTGTTTCGCGCTAATATTGTCCTATTTTCAGTATAGTCTCGTTTGGTCTCGTTAGGTCTCGTAAAGTTAAGTCCATTTGAAGCCAAATTTGGGTTATTGGAAGTCTATTTTTGACTATTTTCAGCAAAGTCTCGTCAAGTCTCGTTTGGTCTCGACGAGAATTTGCACAATTTTGGACCATTTTCAGTCGATTTTGGGCTATTTTCCACCTAGTCTCGTCGAGTCTCGTCAAGTCTCGTTATGTCTCGACGAGATCTTCCTTCAATTTTGGGTTATTTTGAGCCAATTTCAGGCTATTCTCAAGATGCTTTCGTCCAGTCTCGACGCGTCTAGTCTCGTTAGGTCTCGGGCATTTTTTTTTGCCTCGTCTCGTGAGGTCTCATCAATTTCTAGCTTAGTCTCGTCCAGTCACGTTAAGTCTCGGTCAAATCTAGCCTAGTCTCGTTGAGTCTCAGTCATTTTTTGTCTAGTCTCGTTGAGTCTCGTTAACTCTCGTTAAGTCTCGCCGATTTCCAGCCTTGTCTCGTGAGGTCTCGTTGAGGTTTTCGCGCTTTTTCAGCCTAGTTTAAGCCAATTTAAGCCTGTTTTCTCACCTCAAATTCTGTGTCGTCAGCACAATCAACTCCAGAACAATTTCAACGTCAGCAATGTCTTCTGGCGCCGTCGGTGGATCGTCGACCATCGCTAGGAGCTGATGAACACATGTGGGAAGGAAGCAGATGGGGAACGAGTTGAAGCGACCGTTGAAGTTCACCGAGCAATTGAATTGGATGAATAGGGGTTGATTGGTGCCCGTGTACTCCTCGTACACTTCGCCGGCGACGTTGGATTCGGCGCGAAGACGTGACGCCGACTCGTCGGCTTCTGAATCGTCGTGGATGTCTTGACGTCGAGAGGATCGGCTGGGTGGTTCGTCGTCGTCGTCTGATGACGTGTCGGATGAGGAGGATGAGGATGACGTTGGTGGGATGGTGGGGTCTTCGGCGGCGGCTGGAGTTGTTGAAGCACCATTGATGGACGTTGGTGCCGGGGTGGTGGCGGCTGTTTGGGTTAGGTCCAGCTGGAAATTTAGAACTTGGAATTCAGAAATCTAGGGATCTAGGAATCTAGGATCCATGGATCCAAAGATCGCGGGATCCTAGAACCCTTGGATTCAGTAATGCGATTCATAAGAATCTAGAAGCCAGGCACCAAGGAATCCAGAAATCCAAGAATCTTGGGATTTCCAAGCTGTCTTGGACCATTTTTAACGAATTTCAGGTCATTTTTAGCACTTATAGATGAATGGATTGTTCAAAGTTACAAGAATTTGATATCATTGGGTTCGGCAGACAATTTTACTCATTTCTGTCCAAATTTCAACTTTCTAGCACTTCTACGAACCGAGATATAGTCATTTGAAGTTTCGGGAGGCTAGAGAAGCCAGACGACGAGACACACTGCGTCTCTAGCCTGCTGAATTGA